CTGGCTGCAGTGCCCCCTCGCCCCCCCTCGGGCCTCAGACCCAAAGGGAAAAGCCCTGCGGCAGGGGTAGGGAGGTAGCACTGCCAGGCTTTTGCCCCCATAGGGAAGGGGGAAACGTAGTTATCGCCTTGAAAAATAGCAGAGACTGTCTTTGTAACTTGTTTTTTGTTTCTGTGTCGGAGTTTTTTTTATTAATTTTAAAAAAGCAGTATCCCACCCCATTTCTGTTTTTAATAATTGCAGCCGTGGTGCCTTTCATGGGAGTAGCTGGCCCAGTGGCAGCAGTGACCAGCTGGTACCATGGCCCTGTCAGTACCGGGGCTCTGCCAGTGCATTCAGCGGTCTGTGGGGGCCGTGGGAGAAAACAGTCGTGATGCCCCAAATTTAATTTGCCTAATAACACTGAAAAGGAAAAAAAATGTTTTAATTCTTAAAAAGTGTAGTAAAAAATATCAGAAAAAGGGTAATGTATATTGAGGTCAGGTCAGCTGACACAAACATTGCTGTGATGGTGAGGTGGGCAGGGCTGAGGCAGTAGGGCTCCGAGTCAGCTGTTTAAAAGGCAGGCTTTCTTGATGGCTCTGGGGTGTGTGTGTTTCCAAACTGCAGAGTTTCTGCTAACTCTAGGGTTTTACAGGATACCTTAAGAAAAATAGTCCCATCGTTACACTAATACATTAGAGAGAAATGTATTGTTCCCTGTAGGAGACTAAGGAAATTTAATTGTGGTGCAGTTTTGGTGGTAGTCCTGTTTGTGCAGTTATGTTATCGCCTAGTTGTACTGACAGAAACGTTTGGGGGACCCTGCAAGTGTCCTATATGCAGCAACCTAGGCGGGAAAAAAAAAACCAGAATGCAATAACCTACCAACAAGTGGCTGATTGTCAGTGCCTTTATTTGAACCATGCTAGTCCCACTGTGAAACAAAGCTGGTTTAGCTACTGCTAAAACCAGCTTTGCCACCCGAAAGCTGTTTGTGAAACAGCGTCATCCTTTTTGAAGTAGCTTTGAATGACACTGTCCTTAAATGGAAGTTAGCTATGGTAGTTTGTTACTTAAAAGCACAAAATATCTTATGACCGTTGTTCAAATAGTATTGTGTCATCTAGTTAGGATATGTAAGTTATTTGTGAAAATATCTTCTGTTACGAACAGTCGAAGTATTGAGTTTCACTGTGTGTCTCGTTTGCCTTTACTGCCTTTTAAGTTTCAATCCTAGTATGCAGTAAGACCTTAAGCTTTATCTATATGCTCTCTCTCTTTATATATGTATATATGTGTGTGTGCTGTATATACACACCCATAAGGTATATGGCTTAAGCCAATATCAACCGCTCTCTCCAGAGTGGTCGATGAAATACTAACAGCAATGACTTGTTAGAAAATAAATGTGTAAATTAATTTGAATTTGAGATAAAGTATGCCCTTAGCATGAGCTATTTCATTTCCTGTGAAAAACTGGAATTTGCCTATTTCTGTGGTAACTTCAATAGAGTAGGGTAATGCTATCTATACTTTTTCAGTTCCTATGATCTTGCCAAACTATGTTGTTGGACTGAGATTTCCATACCAACTCTCTGCCTTAGGCCACGTTTGTTTATATAAAATTTTCATCCTAGATTATTCTTCTTTCTCGGAGCATGAGTTTGGGAGAGTGGGAATGGAAATTGTCTTCCTTATGTTAATAATGTTTATGATTTAATTGGGTAGCTTTAATAATAAAGCCACCATGGACACCTTTTCCCTTCTCAGTGTTTTGACTACAGCACAGAGGATTCAAATTTGGTCCCAGGCATTTAAGACTATCTTAGTGTGACATGACAGACATTATTTGTATGAACAAAGGCAATGAATTTCTTACCTTCCAAGTTCATGCTGCTTTGGTCTTTGAAAGCAAACATACTGTTTTTTTCCACAGGAACCTGTGTCTCAATGATGGAATTGGACTGTTAACCTTGTGCCCAGCTGCAGCGGCTCCCCAAGAGCCTGTTTAGTTGCCAAGTACCAGCAAATCATAAAAGAATTTGGCTCTGTCTGCTGTACTGGGATGAGGGCATAAGGGAGTGTGTCTGGTGGGTCAGAGTAACATACGCTCTTTTACCGAAGGGTATGACAGTAACTGTGTTATTTGGACAATGTGTGTTGGGAGAGCCTAGCAGGTCTCCTTACCAGCTTTACAGCAGAAGGGAAACCAGAAATTGACCACAGGATCACAGAATGGTTGAAGTTGGAAGGCACCTCTCAAGATCATCTAGTTCGAACCCCCTGCTCAAGGAGGATGACCTTGAGCAGGTTGCACAGGAATGTGTCCAGACGGCTTTTGAATATCTCCCAGAATGGAGACTGCATGACCTCTGTGGGCAGCCTGTTCCAGTGCTCAGTCACCTTCACAGTAAAAGAGTTTTTCCTTAGATTCAGACAGAACTTCCTGTGTTTCAGTGTGTGCCCCTTGCATCTTGTCCTGTCACTGGGCGCTACTGAGAAGAGTCTGGCTTCATCCTCTTTACACCCTAGATTACTAGCCCACTGTTGGCCGTTAGGAGTTGTGATTTAGACTGGTGGTAAAAATTGCTTTTATTTCTCTCCTGTCTAGAGAGAACAGCTTCCACTTCCCGATGATGATAGTGAGAATGGCAGTGACAAAGAGGATGAGCAGCCTCAAGTGGTGACACTGAAAAAGGGGGACTTGACTGCAGAAGAAGCGATGAAAATTAAACAGCAAATCAAAGAGGCCCTAAAATCAAGCGAATCAGGTGAATTTCAGACTACTACTTCCTGCTTTGTATAGCCAAGGAGAGAGAAATAACTATAAAAGGAAGCTTGATGATATTAGCTCCATTTTCTACTTGTTTAATATTACCTCTGATTAATAGCTTTTAATTTCTTAGCTAAAATAATTTGCACTTGTGATTGCTAGTCTGCAGTCTTTGACTGCATGCTCGAGATCTCTGGCTTTTTATAATGTTGCAGTTACATGCTTCCTGATTGTGTATCCTACCTCCAAGTAGCAGTAATCTATTTGTTTGGTGTGGGGTTTCATTATCAGCTTGATAAACAGTCTTTTTGTCATCACCTGTGATAACTTTTGAACTCGTTAATCAGTTCGGCAAAGTTTGGTAGAGAGACAGGGAGCCTTAATCATATGAGCTGGTAAAAAAGAGTGCCTGGGGTAGAAGGAGTAAACTCAGATTAGTGCTTCTAAGGAGAGAATGGCTGGTGTGCAAGGTCACTAGCATGTTCAGGTAATTGAATGATCCACGTATTACTTGCTCAGAATCAGCCCCAGTATGTGCTGTGACTTCCACAGCTAGTGGTTCTGGGGACTTGGGAAAGACCTAGGAGTACTCTGGGGTGATTTGAGATGTGAAAGGAAGGAGATGAGCTGAAGGTTTTCAAGAGTGCAGGGAGCGAGGTTGCAGGATGAAAAGAGAGGGAGCTGGGATTTTCAAGGCAGGTATTTTGGAACATAGACTGTAGTAAACAAGCTGTAATAAACCAGGCTTTGTTGTTTCTGCTGCTCATGAGGCAATGGTTCATCTTCTGTGCCGTTTTGTATTTATGCAAATACAGAACAAAGTTTCAAATACCTACTTCTCGGGTCATTATGCTCTAAAAATGTAAACTTTTACACTGAAAAAACGCAACATCCCTTTTACCCTGCTTAAAACAAAATGATAAAAATTATATCTTATTCTCATTGCCTAGGCCTTATGGAAATAATGAAGTCTTTAGAGCCCTGGAGGAGAGGGATACAATATGTTAAATTATTGATGCAAGAAGATGGTGCAGCTAGTGTGGCAAAACGATTGTCCTTGTGGATTGATGACAGAGGAGTGAAATATGCCATTTCAACTAATACCTAGTGCCTTGGCTCTTAATGGGAAAGGGATAATTTCATTGCATTGTTACATCCTTTTTAACAATCCGATTATAGCTTTACATTCTTAATAAAATAAATCAAAACAACTCTTGATAATTCTGGAAAGAGGTGATCTAGCTATTCTCAAAGATCTTAATGAGTTTACTTATTTTAGCTTTCTAAAAGTTAGATAAGCAGCTAAATGAACTGGAGTAATGCAAATAAGACTTCTGCGGCAAAGTGTAAGCCTTGGTCAGAGTTAGATGAAAAGCTAGGAAAGATGCAGAAGATCTCTTTTCTTCCACGCGTGGCTGAAAATCAATCTTCCATACAACTTGAGAGCCTTCTAATATTTTTTTAATGAAAATGCAGTCTCCACTGACGTCAATTTCAGCGTGACACAACATGAGCAACTTAAAGTTCTGTAAATTGTTCTGAGTGGACTTTCACAACAGCTTCAGGTGTAAACTCATGCCAGAGATATATTATGTAAAACTAAATAAATTAGTTGAATGTAACACATGATACAATAGTGGCAACAAACATATCTACAGGAAAAAAAACATTTCTTTGTAACATTGTTCTTGATTCAGAGTATACAAGGTTTGGAAGGGTTTTATCTAAGTTACTGAACAGGCTTTTCAAGAATGGAAAGATGAAGTGGTGTGGAAGAGGTTGTTGCAGTTAGGTAGTGAAGGCATGACATCTGTGAGTGTTCATCATTCAGCTATTGTTGATACAAGTGCGTTGAGCATCCAAAAACGCTTCCAACATAACACAGGATATGAAGAAGTGTACCTTTACTTTTGTGTGTGTGTGTGTATGTCAGAAGACTTGACAGGTTATAAGTCGATATTACTGTCTTTAGTGAAAATGTATTGAACCAATTAACCATTTAGATCTAGAACCTTACAAGTGTAAAATAAAAAGATAATTCATAGAAGTTGTGGAATTTTTCCTTGGTTAGCCATTGTGGCTATTTCCAAAGGCTATAAACTGAGTTTAGAGCCGAATGGGAGGCTAGCATAGAGCTATTAGTATGACATCCATAGCTTCTTCTGTCTTTTTCTACCATTTGGATTAGAAAATTCAGATCTGTGCCACAGATCTGTCCTTGAGTAGGAGTATGGATAAAAATTGAAATGATAGACGATGGAGAAGTCAAATAACAGTAGAAGGAACAAATACACTGAGAATTTTATGTTTTTGAAAAGCACATTGATGAAAAATTCTTAGAATTTTATAACGTAGGTTAGCTTCAAACTGAATAAAACTATCTGATTTGTTTCTGCAGGTAGCTATGTAAAAGTGGTAGGCCTAAGCAATGAGGGGACCAAGGGCTGTATTTATGCAGTTCAAACTCCTCTGAGAAAACACGCTCAGCTTTCTGATTGCTCTGTGATTTCTGCTACTGAAGTGTAATGCATGTGCCTGGTGATGTTGTTTGTAAAGCTGTCACGTGTTTTCTTTTTAAAAGGGGAGTCACCTTCTAGGTGTTGGGGGAAATAGCCTACTGGAAGAAAATGGCATGATTCTTTCCGAGCAATTTCTTTTTCATGTGAGCAACTGTTATAGCAGCCACTGGAATCTTGAGTGATAACAGTAGGAGGAGAGATGATTGTATAAGGCTGCGCAGAAAGAAGCAGTTGTCCATGAGAGTCTACTGAGATGGAACCCATGCTGTGAAAAAAGTCCAAAAGCAGCTGATCCACTAACTTGAACACACAGTGTGAAATGGAAGTGTATTTGAACAGAGTAACCGAACCTCTTCTCTGATGGAAAAATGACGTTCCTAGGACATAAATGTATGTAGTGAGCTTAGTAGTACTGAGTCCCTGTAGGGCTTTGGCACTTCTGCTTGTCACCCCTTCATCCCTTGAGTAACAGCTTGCAGGTGGAGAAAAAAATACACAGTAGGGAGTAGCAGGATTGTTGAATCACTGTACTCTGGGGACTGCTGCCCTCTGTTCTACGTTATTGTATTACTATTTGCTCGTCTGCTTTTGCTATCAATATGAGGCCTTGGCCTGCTTTCCCTTTTTTTGCTTATGGAAGTGAACAGGGTATGTGGTAGCATGCTCCTCTCCTGTGGAGAGGACCAGGTGTGAGATTTTCAATGGAAGTATAGGTGACAGTGCTCAGTTTGCTGAAGGCTTCTTTGAGACTTTGTTTATCTTTGCCGTACCAGTCTTATTTCTAGATTTAAATTCTGATTTCTTGTCAGAGGCAGATATTTAGGCAGCTGATTACTTCTAGTTTAATAGAGTTTTGAGTAACATCTTTCTTTACTCTCTTTTTTCGGATAGTTATCACATGTAAAATGGCAAGTATAATGAAGGTTTGATGTTGTATAATTTGATTACGTTTCTTGTTGCTTTGACTATTTCCCAGAGCTGACAGTGAAATGAATTCAACAGATACTAGGCCATAATATATGTCACTGAATCAGAACATCAGTGAAATTATGTGAAGATGGAAAGAGTAACAGGGAAACCAATTTCAGAACTGCTAACCTTCCTTTCCACCATGTTGAGATTAAGGCCAATGCACTTTGATAGATCATAAGTAATGTGTTTCTAACTATCTATTGTGAATAGAAACTTTCTGTTAGTTTTCCAAAACACCAGAAATAACCAGTTTTGAGGTTCTGCTCTCCCTTATCTGTGTATCTGTAGTGATTGTCTTTATCTGAAGGTCCTTGTCCTCAGGCTTTGGCTTGGGGGGATATTATTCTAGGATTTTACAAATGTCATTTACTTTCTTCTCCTTCATTTTGTTCCACAACCCATTTGACATGACTGCGCTTTTTTTATTTCAAGCACCAGCAGTTCCTGTAACTTGCTTTTTCTTTAAAAGATGAGCTTCAATCTTGCATTAATTTGGCAAAAATAGCTGATTAATGTTCTAGCCTTGCTTAGCTGTCTCCTGAGGCAGAGCAAAATTTAGTAATGCTCTTACATTGGCCTTGCAAGTATAGTAGTGGAGAACTTCTTTAGCTGGCATAACCTTTCCTATATTAAAAAACCTCCTCCTTTGCTGAAATCTTTTTATCCATGGAAGACTGACTTACAGGCTTTTTAAAAAAGAAGTTGTTTGTTTACCAACAGTCATTTTGCTTAAGATTTTTATGTAGCATTTTATAAATAGTTTCTGTCAGTTCAGAGATAAATAAAAATGGTCTTATGAGAAATTAAATTTGCACAAAAGAAAAGATGGTGATTGCTGCAAGATACTTTCCCCTAGCATTCATTATAGTCTCTGGAATTGATTTTTCTGCTGCTTTTCTAGTTCATCTGGCCTCTGGGACGTTCTGATACCTCCTGACAAATTTGGTCATCTGCATGTGTCCTTACTCATTCAAAGTCTCTTTAATATTATTCTTGTGTCATTCTATATGCTGAGGGATGGATGAGAAAAAGAGAGGAGAGCCAAGGAGAATCCACTCTGTTCTGCTTGTCCTGAGTATCAGAGTTCTTTCCTTAGCTTAAGCACTGTTTTATCATGTGAACAGTAGGAATCTAAATCAAGCCTGTTTTTATAGTATTTAAAGCCCCCCCCCCCAAAAAAAAATCCCAAAGATCGTTTTAATTCAGAATGTCCTCAATAGTGAGTGAGGCTAATTATCTGAGGAAGATTAATGTTTTTATCTACGTGGCACCAATGTGTGGAATTCATGTAGTGAATGCTTCTGAAGACATATATAGAGAAAGGGTGGTGAGGAAGCACTACAAAAAGGAAGTATCTTCAGCTGATAACCCAAACTTCTACCCATAGCAACCAGTAAGAAATTTTCCAAGTTACCATAATTTTTTTTTCCAACCTTTGCCATTAAATAGGTATGTTTTGAAATGTTTTGTGTGCTCCTCCTTCCTGACATTCCTGCCAGTTTGGTGCGTTGTGCGTTTCCTGCTGCAGCCTAATACACCCATGTGGACAGAAATCCGCCCTGCTGAAAGATGGGGCTACAGACTACACAAATGAATACCCCCCCCCCAAAAAAAAAAAAAGTGAAGAGCAGTATTTCTTTTTCAGTCCCTCAGTTCTACTCTTGTAAGATACAACTTGTAATTAAAGGAAGAAAAAACCCCTTTCTGAATTTGTGGCTTCTTGAATTTATGTCACTCGTGAAGTGGATTTTCAACTCAACATCTGATTATATCTCTCTTAGTCTAGCAGTGTAAAAGTTTGTGATCCAGGCATAAACAGTTATGACTAAGATCATTCACAATTTGAACTGTGTAGTTTTGTCTCTCATCTTATCACTGGTGCTTTTTATTATTTCTCCTGTGATACTGGTTGGTTGGTATCTTGGTTGTCTTTTAACTGATGTGTTCTAATGCATTTATCAGGAATCCTTTGCCTGATTTGTAGTACTGATACAGTCTTTTATAAAGGCTCTGTTTTAAAAACTACCAACACTGAGATTGCTTCTTCAGTCTCTTCTTTGTCCTGCTTAATAATGATTAAAAGATCAATTTCTGGAGGTCATCAATACAGACAGTAGCTGGCACGTATCAGTCTGGTAAAATTAGAAAGGATGAGGTGAAGTTTTTTAGCAGCTTAAAAATGCCATCCTAACAAATCAACATTAAATTCTTGCATTGCTAAGTCAAATTCTTTTGAAATGCATAATCTTTCTGTTCTCCCTCTTTCCACAAGTTGCTTAGGTAAGGCCAGACCTGTGGTGTTTCCTTATCTGATTCATTCTTTGTCAAGCACTGATGACGCATCTTAGCTCTCTGAAGTTGGCCTGAGATTCCTACTGAAATGAATTTCCTTGAGCATATATATAATAAAATTCTGACAGTGTTCTACGCGTCCAAGAACTAAAATCTTTTCCTTTGTTGCAGAATGATACACAAATAATACTGAGGCCCTGGAGTTCAGAACTAAGCCAGTTGCCATTTTAGTGGTGTTTCTGAGATTTGTTCTGTTTATGCACTTTGCTTATAAAGATTTTAAATTCACGTTGCAAAGATATCGATCAGTTTCTCCATCTGGTAGACAAGGTGAAAAAGTTAATGCAGTTCACAACATGTGCAGCAGAAGAGCTGGGAGTAAAATTTGAAACTTCTGATTTCCATTTTTCCATGGAATATGAGTACGTAATTGTTTAGCTGATCTATTTTGCAGGTATGCTTTTGTTAGTTTTTTAAAGTTTTATTTTTTTAATTTACCATTCTAAGAAAGTGTAGTAACCACTCTTAAAAGAGACTCTAAAGAGACTTTTTGATACTTCTCATGCTTCTGCAACAGCTAATTGCTTTGAAGTGCTGTTTCCACAGCTGCGACTGGTACTGTATGCAGTCGGTGTGCTGACTGACAGAAGTACATAGACAGCTGGGTCTGGTCATAAGTGAAATTTCTCTTATAGATGCATCTTTGCAGGACTCAGCTTATATCATTTGCCTCAGATCTTGTTAAATTAGAAAAACTGACTCTCTGTATAAACACGAACTCCATTATTCTCTTGTAGCTGACCAACAGTCAATAGGGGAATTTTTTTACATTAAGCTTCTGAGCTGCAAAATTGAGTTTGTGATGGGAAAAATTTATTTAAATTTTTTAAGGTTAGCGCAGCTTCTGAGGAATGATATGTAGTATATCTTGATTGGCTAGATGTGGTATATTTTCAGAAATAGTTATTTTTCTCTCTCAGAATTTACTGTGGGCACTTCTTAAAACTTGTGCATGTGTAAGTTTAAACTTACATGTACAACATTTAAACACCTGTGTTTTCACATAAAATTCACAATGGAGCCATTGATAAACATGCTTATAATAACTACTATTGCTGGTTATTTCTTGTAGCTATAATGCTTTACCAATGCACAAATACTGAATTATATTCCAAAAATCTGGTTAGTTATTTTCTGCATAGTATTAGTCCCTTGTATGCTACTGCAGAAGTCTGCACTCTGCAGAAGTCATTGACAGGAACTGGTGCTTGTTAAGCTAGTGCTTTAAGCTAGGTTTCTTCCTAAGAAATCTGTGAAAATTGAGGAATTCTAGGTGAAGTTCCCTAAGCAAGGTGATGTCTTCAAAGCATTTAATACATCAGATGTAATAGTTGTATTGTGTTTTTGAAATGTTATTTGCTCTAGTACGTATGGACGACCAGAGTTAGTCAGTCTTAATGTGTTTTCAGGGCATAGTTTGGTAGCTTTGCAGATATGAAGAAACTCTGAAACATTCATCCCATATAATAATAAAAGGCAGGTTTATGGCCATGTGATCTTTTTAATTGTCTCTATAGGACAGTAAAGGAAAAGCTTTGTCTTGTATATGTGACATTTAGTCATTTAAAGAGGTACCATAGTTCTGAAATAAGTGCATTTGTTATTGTGGATTTAAAAAATAGTGAAGTGGATTTAGAGGATCATATAAAGTGTATCATACAGCATAGAGGATAATATAACATTTGACAAGTGGTTGAAGCTGGATCATGTGGGAGGAGCTCTGCTACTTACAGTACCTCCTAACTTAAAGCTCTGGTTAGTGAGAACCAATTTCTATTAGTAACTGTGGCAGAAGGGCTTGCCATGAAGCAGATATGCGTGCAGGAAGGACATTAGTACAGTGGAGACTGTATGACCAAAAAATGTATTTTCACTATTGCTTTATTATTTCAGATGTCTTGCTGATCTTGGCTATGGGGAAACAGACAAGATAATAGTGAAGTTCTCTATATGTGTGTGATCTTGTGAAGATGAGTTCTGATTTTATTTGCGTTGTTATAGATGGCGAACCAGAACCTGCTGATGGAAAAATTATGTTCAGGAAGCCCACCAAACGTTCCTCAGAGAAGTTTTCGGGCCTCAATGTAAGTTCAAGTAAGAAGATGAAAGAGGCGAAGAAAGCTAAAAGAGAAGCAACTACACCTCAGAGTGCAGCTAAGCAAATAAAAAATAGCAGTCTTCTCTCATTCGATGATGAAGAAAATGATGATTAGGAGTTGTATGTATTTATATTTTATATACCATTTCAGGGATCAGAGTAATATTGACCATTTTCTTAGAAACTGAGGCTTGTTGTCCGAGTCTTCTCTTACTCTGTTATAATCCAACTAGAGCAACAGTATAAAATTAGCGATAGCAAAACCGAGCTCATTTTTTTCATTTCAGATGGAACTGTATAAGCAGTATCTATGTCTTTGTTTTTAAAAGAGAATTTAAACATGTATGTCAAAGTTATTTGAGATCACAGATGAGTAGCAAAATACACCTGTACATATCCAGCTTAAATACATTTTCAATCAGTGCATTTTAAAATCTCCTCCTTTACCAAAATAGCATTTCTTCTCTATTTAGTGGCCCTATTTGATAGTTGTGTGGTTTTACCTTGTTCATATTGACTTAACATTCAAAAGAAATGGACTGCATTCCTGTGGAGTGCGGACTGAAGTCTTTTGCCTCATATCTTAACAAAACTTTGCACTGAATTTTGCGCGTATGGTTTGGCAGATTAGCTCTTCTAAGAGCCTTTCCAGTAAAGTGAGCCTTCAGTTGCTAAAATCAGGTAGCGTTAATGCTGTCTTCAGTGAATGCAGTCCAAGAAGCACCAAATTTGTTTGTGCTAGTAAGAGGTAAGGAATTTGATTCTAGTTGATTGTATCAGCTTCTGCAAAAGAAAGATGTGTAAACTTTTGGAGATTGTGCGCTTTGGTTATCACACTGATAATCAAGACGCGCATATATACATTCATATTTGAGATCTCAAACAGTTTAAAAACATGTATTTTATCATGAAGCTGTGGAAAACTGCTTTGGTTTTTGTTACAGTATGAAATTCTAAGCAGGAAATCTAAGTCGAGAAATGTTATAGCTGTGATACAAAGCTTTAAAATTCTTCACTTGACCATGTAAAGTGCATTGAAATAGACCATTTCTGCATAATTTATGTAACAGCATCTACTGAAGTTCACAATAACATTGAGAACTGATGGGACTGGGGAGAACAAGGGGTGGAAATAGGACTAGCGACTTTGACGTGATTTGAAAGTGTTATGTGTTCTGCCATCATATGTAAGCAAGACCTGAGCCTGCTGCAGAATATGAGGCAATGGAATCGATTCTTCTGCTGTGTGACAGGATGTTCAAAATTATTCAGCCGTAAAGCTTCATTGCGGAGCAAATCTGAAGTTGCTGTATGAAACAGCTGTTTTTAATTTGTTAACTTGGTATTAAACAATAAATTGTTTTCTGTATGTGGTCCAAATATATTTAAATTCAGATTTCAGGGCATAAAATGGGATTTTTGGAGTAACCTGCTTTCATATGACTCCAAAGCCTCATAAGCCTCTTACGATTGCTGCCTCTCTACATAGTAACTTCCTGCAGCATAAGATCAGATGTAAATTTATGTGCTATTTCACACTAATTTCATCAGTGCATGTTACCCTAATTTTGAAAATAAATAGATACATTGTGGTTTCAGAAAATTAAAAGCAGACCTGTAAATGGATATTAAAGTTTTGAAGGAGCACTGGTCTGGTGCTAGAATTGCCAGAGGGGCAGTATGGTAACTTGACCCTCCCCATGAGGGCATTTTACATTTGTACATACATCATTTTTCTGTATTCTGCATATATAAGAAAGCAAGTCATATATAGGAAAAAGAAACATTGAGTCAAAGGTTTCCCAGGGATTAATCTTTCTGTTTATTTTCAATGGTAAAAACTTGTTTGAATACATTTTCTAAAAATGAAATATGCCCATGGGATATCCTATAGAGTTGCAGTATGCTGAAGGAATATTTTGTGGTATATCTGGGATGGAGTAAATATTCTGACTTGCTGTGGCCCATTTGAAGGAGTGAGTTAACGTATGAATGCTTACCTAAACTTTTCTGACTCTGTTTGTCAGCACAAAAATACACTTGCGCACATTTTTTCTCGCACCGCCTGAAAGCTCTTCACTTTAGCTGCAAGGCGGTTCCAGAGACGTGGTTATCAAGAGGTAAATGCTTGCCAAGGATCAGAGGGAATTTAGATTTACCTTACAATTTGCGAGGGCCCTTCAAATACACAGCTTATTTGGCACATTCAAAACGAGATTGATGTCTTGTTTGAGCTCAGTCAGAAATTGCATTTAAACAAAATTTACTCTTTTTAGTGAAAGACTTGTGAGATTGAAGGCCAGTAAAAAGGGAGTTATCTGAAAATATCGGGTAGAGTACTTTTGCTTAATCATACTTCCTGCCCTGCGACTTCATGGCAGACGTCTGGAATGCAAATAAATTAATTGGGTTTGCTTGGAAATAATATAATGGAAGGCATGTTGTTCTTCAGGCAACACAGCAGGGAAAAGAAAGGCAGATACGGAAATCCAGTTTCTTTCCTTTATTCTGTCTGTGATTTGTAGTGCTCTGACCAGGAGACCTTTGTATTCATTGTATTTCATTCTCGGTTCGCTTAACAATAACTAATTGGATATGTTTTATTAAGAGGTGTGAGTGATGCACAAACGCATTTTAGTCAGGTGGTCATGTGAAAATTCACTGTTCTTAATGTGACACACCAGGAAAATTATACACGCCATCAACTCCCCGTGAAACCTGTGACTAAAGAGAACAATTACTTGTTCATTTAGGAAAGACATGTGAAACTGTCTTAAGCAATCACCTGTCTTAAGCAATGGGCCTTGGAAAAAATAATAATCACAAGAATTTTCTGATAAAAGGGAAGCCAAAGTAGAGTGCATGGATGTGGGGCTGGGACTGGAATGGACAAATTTCTCTGCTTTTTCTCTCTTTTATTCCTTTTCGCCTTCCCTTTCCTTAGTGGGAAATACTTTGTTGTTGTTGTTTGTTTGTTTGTTTGTTTGTTTGTTTGTTTTTTCCCTTCTGGAGCTTGCTTGGCTAAGTGTGAGAGAAGTGCTGTGGAGGAGCAAGGTGGAAATACATTAATCAGATTAGTAAGCTTAGTTGGCATAGTTAGTTTAGTCAGATGTGGCCTGTTACCTAATATGGGAATCTTGTACAGTTTTATTAATAAAAGCTTTGATAGTTCCTCGTTCATTAGGTCTCCAAAACATTTATTGATGGCAGTACTACTTCTCACTATGTGTAGCTTAGTAGTAAGCTGGAACAAACCTGGTGAACTGTTGTAGCATGGTAACCATGGATGCTTATAGTGGAGGCTGTGTTATGTTACAAAGATCACAGAGCAACTCGCCTTTCTGGGTGATACCCAAGCCACTTATTTCAGGGCAAGGCTGGTGCCTGCCATAAAAGAGTTAGATCAGTCTGTCTTTAGAAGAAATAGCATCTTTTTCTAAATGATAGGAATCAAAAATTGAGATAGAAATTGCAAAGACATGGGACAGAGTGAGCAAGAAAATGTAAGTGGAGAGAGGTGGCCCAAGAGTTCCTCCTTCCCTTGGTTATATCTTTAGCCTGTCTCATAAGGTTATTTTTCTCCTCAAATGAAAATAAATTCATGGGGATTGCAAACGTTCATTTCATTGGCCTAAACAGGAACGGATGAGTGAGAATGCTATTCTGAGAGGTTTTTTGTCCGGCACTTCTCCAAGAAACATCATTTGGAGGATCAAAGGCTGTGTTTTGCAGACACTCTGAGCACAAGAAGTCTGTATTTAGCTGTTTTAATTATACATTACACGTTTTTAAAATTTAATTTAATGTATTTTTTTTACGGTGCTTCACTATATAATCCTGTTAGGAAACTGCAGGTTTATAATGAAGCAGGAAGTAGCAATGTCATCGCTTTGGCTGATTGTTTCCCTTGTGCTGTAGTGTATTAACTAAGTAATGCTTCACTTGGCTGTGTAGAGCCCATTGCATTCTCAAGGACATCAGGCATGCCTGAAGATGAGTCATTACCTTTGGTAAACCATAAGAGGTGTGATATGCAGTCTCAGCAAGTGTTTGTCCATTGAAGTCAGTTAATATCCTATAGCCCTTTCCCCTGGCAAGATGCCATAAATCAATCCTTTATGCATTCATCAGATGGAAAGGCTGGTATATCAGCTGCCTCTCCAGTATTGTCCTGTTATTCCCATTCCTATGGGGAGGTGTTAATCTGCAAAAAGATTTTTTGTGTTGTAGAAATCCCCTTCCACCCCACTTCCTTGAGAGCTTTCCAGATGCAGCAGTGACAACGGTAGGAGAGAAACACCACAAGGTGTTGTGCAAAGGGCAGTAACCTCCTGTAGACCTCCTCAAGACTGTGAGAAGCAATAAAATCTCAGAGCCAACCCCTGGAAAGTAACTTCTTCCGGAGGAAAGTGGATGGGACCAGTATGGAAAATTACCCGAGACTGAATTTTATGGCGCTTTTCCCATCACGAGCTAAAGCAACAGCTGGCAAAGGCAGTTTTCCTCTGTAGGGAGTTGTACAAGAAAGTGGCTTTGGTGCCAATCCAGTACATACGGCAAAGGATTCCTTTCCCTTGACTCCCATGGCGTTCCTCAGTACAATGCCTGCTAATAGGTAAGGCCATGGGTAAGAGGGAGCTACCTTGTAATAGGCAGAAGTTATTAGAGGAAGTTGTTGTCAAGCCTCCATGGGGTAACCGTGATCACTGCGCACTTTTAGTTCTGATATCATAAAAGAGTTTTTCCCTTAGGGACAACATAGTAACAGCGAACTTTAAAAGGGCAGATTATAAAACTATAAGGAAAATGGTTAACAGCAGGCTGAAGGGCAAAGAGAAATACTTAAAAACCATAGAGATCTGCCTGGAGGCTATTTAAGAACATTGTATTAGAGGCACAGATGGTTTATATACCTCAGAGCAAAAACATAGCGTATGAAGAAGAATGAAACTCACAGGGTTACGTGGGAGAAAAGTGAGTATAGTAAGGCTGAAAATGCATCCCTTAAAAATGACAACTGTCTGAATGACAGACTAGGAATCGTTGTCAGGAGAGTGGAAAGAGCTAGAAAGTGACAGTACTAAGAAAAAGGCTATAGCAGCTGCTGCCTTTGGATCCCCAAGATAAAACACTGAAAACAGTGATTCTAATAAAGTGCTGAGCACTTGCCTTTGAAAACTGGGCTACTCCAGATGAGATTTCAGTAGAAAAACAGGAGAATGAAGAGAAAAGCTCTTCATCTGCCTTAGCTAGCACAAGACAAAATCTTGATAAAGACAAAGCAGTCCACAGTATTAATATGTGAGTTGGCTAAATTTAAGGGTAAGGGGGATGTAGCTGATTCAAACATAGTTTCTCTACACTAGGACTTTAATTTCGCCTTATCTTAGATTCAGTGCCAAAAATACTGTTTTTAATCTGTGCCAAAGAATCTAGAGAGAAAAAGAAATCAAATACTCTAAAAAGTCTAAGTTTAGTAGAAGAAAAAAGTCTACGTTGGTCCACTACAGCTTTGGTCTGAGAGGGATACTACCTGATCAGGATGTAATGAAGTTTGCAAAGCTTTTTTACACCAATGTGCAATGAGACAATTTAAGCATTTTGTTGTCACGTATAGGAGAACAGGGACACGCTAATTATACACTGAAGGGGGAATGAACATCTCGAGTATCTCATAGATGTCCTTGAAATCTAATGATATGTGCAAGGAAGTATCCTAGTGAAATCAGGAAAAGTTATTTTCTGGCTTATGTATAAGGAAAGGCAGGGGAAAGCTAGAACAACTGTTTTGGCAATATGAACTTGATCCACACAGTCCCAGTGGGACTAGAGTCCTGGCATGGAGGCTGTTTTATTCTGCCCTGTTAAATTGAAACAAACAATTGAGCTGCTTCAGTCCCTCCTTTTTTCTCCTCTGACATGCCAACTATCTCTAGAGAAGAGATTAAGCGTCGTTCAGATCAGCACTGCGGCGGCAGCAGCAGCAGCAGTTTTGTAATTTAAGGACTGCATAAAATTTATGGAGCACTGAACAGAGCTTAAATCAATTTTATGATTTTCATAAATTATTGCAAGCAGACCGTGTTTGTGAAAGCCAGTGATGTTTAAGCTATCTGTCCAGTGGACAACAACATTCAAAACAGGGATTTTCAGAAGCACCTATGGGAATTACGCTTTCAAGTTTGATGGGAGTTAGAATATTTGTTCCTTTGAGCTACTTAATATTCTATTGTTAATGTTTAATCATGCCAAATTGCTTTAAATATTTGGTAAAAATCAAAATCAGAGGAAGGTCAAATTCAGAGCAATGTTTTAATTTCATTGCTATTCTGCTTAATGTGCTTATAAACAGGGAGTGAGTTACTTGTAATTCTAGTTCCGGTGAAATACCACTTTGGGACTTGAAGAATTAACCTTTTTCTTACCGTAGCGTCTTTTGGGGTTGTTGTTGGGGCCCTATTACTGGGATGAGCCTTGATCTCTCTGTCTGCTTGAGGCTGTACATGCAAATTACTCTAGCTGCTACAGAGAAGGATCTGGCAATAGATCACGAAGAGGATGAACAGCTGGTTCCTTGTGGCATGTTTCAAGACTAAGATAAATATTATTCTATATATTATAGGTAGGACTAGAGGTTGAACTTTACTCCTCAACTGGCAACCAAGGTGGAGCTGATAAAATACAGTTCCCATTTCATCCTATTTTGTATATAATTTGTGCTTGAAAGAGCCCTCTGCTCGCTGGGCGTTATACCCATCAGGATACGGATAGGTTGGAGACTTTCCATCATATTGGGATATTTCTGTATGTTTAATATGCCACATTTAAACTTCTCCAACTCCTCTAAAAGAAATCACTGTGTTTCAGATTATTGCAGACTGAATATGCTAAACATGGGATTAATGAGAAGAACTATTATTCAAATCCTCCATTCTGTATGGGCAGCCTGGGCTAAGTTCCTTTCTGATGTTACTTCATTGCTTTCAATGAAATGACGCCGATAGATACATTAGCTGCTTATTAGTCTTGATAAAGTTGGTCTGAGATGAATATGCTGGAGTTCAAGGAAGTTGTATTGAACTCTCCAGGACCTTGCCATTGAATTCCTGCAGTCATCAATTTATTATAAATGATGAGAGTGACTGACTCAGCAGTCATTCTTCTGCAGAAATGGATCTGTGACTACCATGACTTAAAAACTGAGCACAGGCCACTATGTGAGGAAAGCTAATGTAATTTTGGGCTCTATGAATAGATGCGTCATGGTGAAGAAATGTGTAGTAATCCTACCCTAATTGTTCTCTGCTCCAGACCTTAGCTGGAGTAATGTGTCTACCTCTGTGCACTATACTTCAAAAAAGAAAGATGTAGGCCAAATGGACAGTTCAGCGGAAAGTAGTGGTATTGATCAGAAGTCTAGAAAACATGACCTTTCAGGATAGGCTGGATGAAGTGGGACTATACATCCAGGCAAAGGAGATGCAGAGGAGGGAAGATTAATGTGATAACACTCTTCAAATATGTAAAGCTTGCTGCAAAGAGGAAAGTAATAAATTGTTCTCTGTGTCCACTGGGAATAGAAAAAGAACTAATGGATTTGAATTGCAGCAAAAGAGATTTAAGGAAGACATTAGGACAGGCTTTCTAGCTGTAACGCTGGTGAAGCACTGAAACAGATTGCCTGGGGAGGTTGTGGGATCTTCATTGCTAGAGGTTTTTAAGAACAGGTTAGACAAACACCTGTCAGGAATGATTTGGGTATAATTGATCCTGCCTGAGGGCAGAGGGCTGGACTAGATGACCTCGCAAGGTCCCTTCCAGCCCTATTTTCTGTGGTTCTCTGATTAGTAAGGCTGATGTGATATTCCTAGGACCTTACCGTTCCTTTACAAGGAAAAATGTGCGATAGTAATACCAAGAGGCAGATATAAGCTGACAATATCTGGAAAAAAATCAAAGCTTAAGGTTAATATCCTACACTTAATTAACACTTGTATGCATATAATAAAAATTGCAGTTGTTCAAAGGCTGAATACTCAGAGGTTATACAACTAAGTCCTTTGTGACCAGACCCTGATCTTTTTAATAGCAGGAGAATCTGTTTCTTCTAAGACCTATTAGCTTTACATATTGCAACTTTCATTTTTTCACTTCAAAAAGTAGCGCGCATTGTTTGTTAGCATCTAACATACTCCAGGTGGGGTCACTCTCATTTTCCATGTCATCACACATTTGGCCACATGCTACGCTTTTACTCGCGTACTCCCACTCCAATTTATCATGATGCTAGTGCTCAGTTTCACAATGTGGCTGTGTTTAACTCACTGATATCCCTGTTAATGCATGCGGTACATTTCTCTCCGTTCTCAGACACTGTATATTCCTCCTGCTGCTTTCTGCTCACATGTTCTTTTATTCCTATTGATAACTTCCATTTTCATCTGTCTTTTGCTGCTTTCCCTTCAAGCTGTGCTTGCGTTACAAACCGCGGTTCAGCAGTTTAGCGGTTGGATTCCATCCAAATATTACCAAATGCCACGTCTTTTAATATCAGGCAGAGCAGCTTGAATTTTCTTCATCAGAGTATTGTAAAAGACACACTGGCATGTTTTCTGTGCAAATGCCAAAAAAAAAAAAAGTTTAACAAAAGAAGGGGGGTGTGAAGCAAGCTGAAATGTCTGCATTCCCAGAATTTAATAATTTCCCCAGTTTCAGGTTTTAGTTCATGACCCAGCTGCTGGTTTATGTAACTCAGTGGAACTATGCCAGTTTAGAAAAGTCAAGAATTTGGCACTGTCACATTTGTGACTGGTGGTACCTTACTGTTCAGAGACTTGCACCTCACATGTTTTGGAGATAAATGAAGGACAAGCTACGCAGATATCGTGGTCTGTCCGGATAGCAGCTACCTTCCTTGTCTTTGTTGTGCATTCTTTGTGCACATTCCCCAGCTTCTGCTGTGTCTCTGTGCCGGGGGGATAAAGTACATCTCTCTTAGGAGCTTGCACTGAACCCATGTATCACTTAAGCTTCAGCTTAAGATGCATTGGCTTAGCACAGGCCTCTGCTCGAGGACAAATTTCCCTGACAATACTTGTTTCTACTTTGTACTTTGCATTGCTCAAAACATTCATTTTCTCTCCCCTGTGGGTACAGTACGTGGGAAGGGATCACTTGACCTTGAAATGTATTTTCATTTATTTTGCCTGTTGGTTAATGCTGAGATTAAGAGGAATGTAAGCCTTGTTATTCAGATACCGCAGTGGGGATCCTTTCCTGCTTCTGTCACAGATTTCCTGTGTAATACTGTTTCTTAAAGTCTTGGTTTCCCATATTGGCAGTTCACCATGTGCCATAACGTGAGGAGAATAATACTTTTTTCCTATCACTTTTGAGTCTAATTTACCTGTCTACAGTACGGTGGCAAACTTTTGGGGATTTGGAGTGCCTCTGTGCTTTTTTTGTGCTTTTTGGGCTGTTTGGTCACTAGTTCTCCCTCCCGCCTACAGCCCCAGCAGGGAGGCCAATTTTTTCCCAAGAAACCCCTCGGGGTGGGGCGGGGGGAAGGAAGGAGCCTGTTCCTTGCACCTCCAGTCACCACATGAGGGAAACAGAAAGACAGTGAGCCTTTGCCATGCCAACCTGTTCTCCAGCTCAGAGCGGTAACGTGTTTGCATGCTATCCCACCTCTGCAAACCTTCTGTGTTTCCCTCTTTGGCCTCCCAGCTTAGGGCTAGCACAGAGAGAGACTGGAAGCGGTTGTGAATGGCACTCACCATTCTCCCAGCTCCTTTGCACCCAGACCTTTTCCTCACAAGGAGTTTGAAGAGTTCACTTTGGCTGCATCACCAGATGCTCAAGGCTGGATTTGGGCTTTAAGTGAGTTAGGGACTTTTATGTCAGGATGCTAGCCTTTTTAAGGCAGCTTTTGGTGTTTGAGAGCGTGTGTAGACTCTAAAATGTTAGACGTTGCAAAACTTAGGCTTTTATCTCAGGTTTGGACTTCAGAGCAATCTTTCAATAACACGTACAAACACATACCGTGAATCTCTTTTAGCTATGTGGTTTAAAAACCTGTGCTGAGCAATGGTTCAGCGGGACAAGTCCTTTATTACGAGTTTACTCGGCACCAACTACAGAGAAATCCAAATGTGTGCTACAGACTCTGGGGTACTACTGTAGTACAAAAAAAAAAAAAATTGTTAACGAATAAGAGATCATATTTTTAAATCAGTTTTGTTCACCAAGCAGCAATTATTGAAATGGTTGCAGTTCATCACTGAGGACTAAGCATATAAAATGCTTCAAGATACAGAATTGGATTCTATAAATATATAATTCTTTTATCAATAATTCTTATAAGCAGGCTTCTTTCTACACTCTCCCTTTTGCCAAAACTCTCCTCTCTATTATATCCTGAGCTTATTTCCCTTCCGGATAGTTGTAGATTTGTTGGTATACAAATTAATTTTGTTATTGACTAGAATGAACATTTGGAGGGTAAGAATGGCATTGCTATTCATACCTAAAGCTAATCAATATAGCTACAGAGGAATAAATATTTTCTAACAGAGTATGAATCCTATCTAGCCTTAATTCATTTTTCTAAAACCCACAGGACTGTACCCCTAGCTGGTATACACATGAATAAAGCAGTGATAGGCATTTGAATCTTTCCTCCTATTGTTACCAAAGAAGGTTCATGAGAAACTTCAGTCCTAGTCTTACTTCTTGCCATGCTCCAGCTCAGAAGTCACTGAATCATAACAACCTGTGCCTACTGTTTGATCGCAGCGACAACAATCATTTGTCCATCATCCCCTTGTAACACCAAACACGCTGGTGGAGAAATAAATCCCTACTTGGAAGTGGCCTGACATCTGCTTGAAAATTCCAGACTGGTTTGTGGCTATGCAGTTCAAGAGAAAGGACGTGAAGAGGTATATGGGGATGTAGGGTGATTTACAGCAGTCTGGGATTCATCTGCAAAGTGAATGTTATTAACGCACCAAAAGCACAGGAAAGGAGAGAGAGTAGCAAGAAAGGTAAGAGTAGGATGGGAGCTGAAGTGGTGGGGTTTACCTTGTTCCTAGCATATTCCACCAATGAGCTCCAGTTATTCCTGACAAACTCTTAGCATTATTCCTATCACTTCTGCCTTTCCTTGCTCAAAGGCACGCAAGAGATTTGCACTCACTTTGTAACCAGACTCTGCCTTAATTTACACTTGAAATCAGCCGGGAGCCGACAAAATGTCAGAGCAAAATTTTGCTTTGCTTCAATTGGCTGATTCTTTGACAGGGTTTGCTAAGAAAATGTTAGACTGACAGGGAGAAGACCGTCAGGGGCCCGGCCAGCGCCAACGCGCTCCCGAGATCTGAGCCGACACCTCTGCACAGCATGGAGGCGATTTGGGGACCGGGCTCCCTGGTGCCAGGCAGACGCTGCACCCTCTGCTCTTTTCGGAAAAGCAGGTGGAGCGTGGCGTGCGAGAGGCGGCGTGACGGGACACTAGGGTGCCGGTCCCTAGCAGAAGAAAACGGTGACCCTGGCGCTCCAGCGTGCTGGAGAAACGGAGCATGCACAATAAGTCCATCTCTCAACTCTTTGGGGAGAAACCCTTCACATGAAACCGAGAGCGCCGTGTCCCTGCTCGGCCGCCGGCGCCTTTGCTTTGGCCGGTTGGAAGCGTCAGTAGCGCAGCTCCGCGACGCCCGGAGGTCGCGGTCCAGGCCACGGACGGACAGACGGAGTGTGCCTTGGCGGCGCAGAGATGCACATAACAGGGCGCTGTGCCGGAGGGGGTTGGGGGGGCGTTGGGGGCCAAAACCGGGCAGGTTTTGGGAGAGGTCCGGCCTGCAGAGCGGCGTGGCGTGGCAGG